TGAAAAGTTTATTGGTTTATTATCAAGAAACACTCTGCGTACTCACTGATGGCTGGGACCCAATTCTAGTGAATGTATGCACATCCGCTTTGCCCGAAAATTTACTAATGAGAACAATCTATCGAATCCCGAAAGGAGTGCCCATCGTTTCAACAAATGAAAGAATTCCTATACAGCCAATTCGAAATTAAGTAATGCGTTGAACACAAGCTCGCGGGATTAACTACTACGCATAAAAAATTAAGCATAATCTTTCTCCACAGAACAGGCACCAATCGTACAAATTATGCACTCGTTAAAGCATTGCAAGTAGTTTGCGCACCTGCCGACACCCCAACGGTACAAATGAATGAAAACTTACAGCATTTGTACAAAAAGTCTGGCATGGTACTATACACTTAAACGGTGTACATCACAACCCACATGTTTGACTTGCCAACAATGCCATAACACTCTTTTTGAGCCCAACTCATGGGTATGGTCGACTATAAAAAAGACCTCCCCGCGTTACGCAAACAGACGCAATTTAACACCCCGTGTCAAGATACACAGAGAGATACGATTTTAATCTCTCCGAGTTAAAATACACAGAAACCTGTGATGACAACCCCAGATCAGAGTTTACAATAGGTCACAAGAAGAAATATGGTATCGTACATCGCAATTCATAAGAAGATTTACTCATTGCCTATTTGATTACCCCAAATTCAGGTCTTTCTCAAAGACGACACTCAAATATGCTCTAATCAAGAGCAATAAATCTACAAGAATAATTATAAACCTAAAATTAAAAGAAAGCGATTCCCACTGCAGAGAGCTTCCACTTTTCTCCTTGGATGAAAAGGACAACCTTCCAATGGTTGTCTTACACGGAGAAACCAACTCCTCAGTGGAAAAGATCACAATAGTATCGAGTATCCAAACCATAAGTGCAGCGTGAGCCTTCCAAAAATTCCACAAGCCACTTCATCAACGCAACCGGATTCCGATAAAGGGCATCAAAATATTTACAAAACCATGCCTGCGTCTCAAATTCAAAAACCCGTCAGCCGAGCAAATTACCAAAAGCATCGACTTACTGAAAAAATGCCAGATAGGGATACTGGTTGAAAACTCATACAAACTCAATGCTGTGCGCTCGTGCAGGGGCCCCAGGATGTTGTTGTTGTAGCACTTCGCTAACCCCGCTTAGGTTACACGTTTAATCAATCTTAGCCGCCGATGTCCTTGGGGCGGTATTCTGACCAGCATGTAGCTTCTTCATCTGCGCCTTGTTCGTCCCCGGCGCCCAGATCGGTGCAGCATAGTTTCCGAACGGCTGGCCAATTACTTCGTAAGTTCCACAAAGTTTCTCTGTATTTATCCAAGGTGCTGCCGTCTAGAGCGCAGTTTGGGTATTTTATTTTTGGCTCTGGAGTTTTACGGAGTGCAATATATCTAGTGTTACTCCCAATATCTTTGGGTTGTTTATAGTCGTAATTTTTACGTCATCGACCTTCACATATAATTCAAGCCTGTATTCTTTCATCCAGCTGATGAACAGGGTAGCCGAGGATTTTGTCGGTTGTTTTTCAACTGTCGTGCAATGAAGAAGTGAGAAAGATCGGCAAGGTAACAAAGGTCATCAATATCCTGGCCAGACGCCATTATCGTGAGATCAATAATTATTACATCATCATCATCAGTAAACAGCACAGCCCGAGATATCCAAAACGAGTTTTTTCATAAATGTTTGGAAGATTCCGCGGGGACGCGCCACTCCAAATGACAATCTTTAGTACTGAAACAGATTACAATATTGCATTATTACCCATATATTCTTAAAGTCTTCAGCCAACTCAATTTGATGGTATGTTTCACTGAGGTCTGTCTTTGTAGAATATTTTCCGCCTTAAAGTTTATTAAAAAAGTTCCCCTATTCTGGGGATAGGAAACGATCGACTTCATTTAAACCTACTTTGAAATCAGCGCATATGCGCAATGCTCTATTGGGTTTTCGTAATACGACAATGGCATTAAAACGTTAATAGCCACAAATCGATTTATCTCTATGCGTATTTCAAAGCCGTTGCAAAACTTTGCTCTTGCATTTGGTTTGAAAACTATATTGGCATTAAATATTGATTACGGCCCCATATATTTTACGAAAGATAAGGATACTTCTTTGCGAAATTATGAAGTGTACTACTACTAGCTTTCCATTCATAGCAACCTATCTTATGAGAGCGCCATGTAAATAAAAAGTTGTCACCGCTCGCCGATGCCGTTACTGACGGTTGTCCTGCAGAAACTAGCGTCGATTTGATCTTCTCCGTAAAACAGGTTTAGCTCATTGTTCACTGTTATTCAAGGTTGCCAGTATAATTCTTTTTAAGAATATTAAATAACCGCGTAATGCGTAGTTTTTTTTCAAAAGAAATGAAAACTTAATTTGTAACTAATTATATGTTACCATATAGATCATTTATATTTGATCTGCGTTTATATTCGAGCATATAAATTATGAAAATTGTTGACTAAAATTATAAATTTGTTCAAAAGTGTGCAAACACACTGTATCGTTCATAACTCGTGTATGCAAATCGCTTTTCCAGTCGGGTGTTAAGGAAAGAAGGTATGTTAGATAGGTTTTTGCAGCATTGGTTGAAATAGAGGTGTAATAAAGAGGACGCACCGAACTCGCTATCGTCGTACAGGATTAAATTGAATAATTAAATAAAACTAAAGTCTAAATCGATTTTTCTCGATGTTTCGGTGATACGTGGAATAAAATCCACGCCAATACATCACAATCTTCATAGTATTCCATCGGAATTTTTGTGCATCAATGTCTGTGCTGACTTTTTGACCAACATTATTTTTTTATCATCAATACACTCATTGTTTCACGGCAGCTGAAATTCGCATGAACTATAATTAGCATCAAAGAAGCTGCAACCAACAGTTAAATTATTCAGAAAACATCCCTACATGTTAATCGGTAAGACTTTTTATATATCGCCTTATCGTGAATTTTCATTTCGTCTGTAATGGTTTCATTTCACCTATGCCGTTCATTCATGCAGTTATCAAATTTTTGGAGAAGTTGTTGTAAAAAACAATTATTTTAAAGTAAAAATCGGTAAATAAAACTCAGTAAGAAATTATGATTACCAAATGTAAAAAAATCCTGATTTAGTGGCTGGCTTTCTAAAAAACGGAAAGAAAGACAAGAAGCGTTATGGAAGCAATTGGCCGCAGATTTAAACGTGCTGGGCCTCACAATGAACCGGTGTATAAGTGGAAAAAGGGTAATTTTAAAATTAACAATGGATAGTAGAATTTAAAAAAAATTACAAGAAATCGTCTTAAGGTATGGAATGACCAAAGCGTTACGTACGAAAAAAATTAACTTTCAATGCGGGACAAACTAGAGGCGCTGGTGGGGGACTAAATCGGCATCGAAAATTTTCAACATCAGTGGAAGCTATTGCCGCAATTACTGGCATGGCAAATAGTATGAGGGATTTGAGGAAATATTGTCAAATGGATTGCAACCGCTATGTGCTACTGAAACAATTGTTAACGAAAGTCCACAGCAAACTACAGTAAAAAGCATCAGAAACCGCAGAAAGAACGTGCCATTATCCTCTAAACGAAATTACACATCTATGATATTAGAGGAATAAGATGAAGTTCAAAAAGAACTCTTAAAAGGGAAAAGGAGAATTGAAGATAACCCAAGAGCGTTGAATAAAAATTTCACAGTTCACATAATATGGAAATGGAAGATTTAAGAAACAGAGAAATTGAATGGAAGTTTGAAAAAAATAAACAGAAGGATTATAGAAATTGAAAAAATTAAGCTTTCAGTGATGAAAGAATAACTCAATATTTATTATCTTTTAATTTTAATGTCTGTAATGTCCTGTCCTTTACCTATATATAATTTGAAAAACATTTAAATTTGTTGAATTAGATTTATAATAATAATTGAAAAAATGAATTTTTGTGTAAAGATGAAAGATTGCTGTTTTTTCAAGGGAATGAATGGGCTGTTTGGTTTTTAATTTTGTGTGCTTGAGTTTCGATCATTGCACTTCTAAATCTGTGTCGTTCTTCACTAAAATCGCAGTCATCTTTAAAATGAATACATAAATTATGTAGCATTACGCCCACATTGAATATTTTAGCTGCTTTTTGTGGGCTATAAAAGAGTACTCCAGCTCCAAGCAAGCATAAGTAATCCAATTGAAAGTTAAATTATATTTCGGCACCGAGAATAAGGTAAATTAAATTATGCTTGTAAAATTCTTTCTTCAGGTATTCGATATGGTGTTAATAAAGAAGATTCCAGAGTATATCCTGCGTCGCCTATTGATGAAATACATATTCATGATAACAAATCAAACTTGACAGAACTAAGAAAGTTACTACGACTATTGCGAAGATATCACTTTAGTTCTGAAACGTTCCACACTAAAGAATCGTGAAAAGCTCCTGGATGCAACGCATCAATAAATCTTTATCTAATTTTTTGGTCACAAATAAGGAAAGGTTATTGTGTTTTGATCCCACAATCTTTATATGGGTGCCATCAATGCACCACATAACACTCGGAATCTTGAACTTATCATAAAATTTAAAAGCAGCACTTTTCATCTCCTCGATGCTCATCCATTTTATCCACAAAAGACATAAACTCTTTTCGAACCGGTCAATCATCTCTTCTAGTATGGCACTAAAGGCAGATTGGGACAATCCCACACCATATTCCATACCGATACGCTTTTGGTAACGTCATTCAGCAAAGAAACGGAGTGAAGCAGCTAACTTCACTATTGAGGGTATTCCAAAGCATGGCTAAGTCTACTCAACTCATAATTCTGTTCATATCAGTATTGATTTTGATGGGTCTGTAGTTCTCCTTCTGGTGCTTACACGCACGTGAAAGGTAGAATAAAAATTTCTTACATAATAACGTGATAAAATATTGTTAAATATTTAAGTTATCAGCTTACTTGAAAAATTCCTAGTTGCTAGCATGGTAGTAAGAATAGCGCCCTTAAGCTTACGACGAGCATTGAATTTCTTGAGACAGTCAACAGTCTCTTGCCGATGTACCACTGAAGCCACGCGTTCTCTTTGCTGTAATTGCAATAATTTATTAATAACTATGAACATATAATAATTTATTAACGTTTACGCATATCCATGGGTGCTTCAGCGCTTCCGCAGCGGTTATTCTTTTATTTGGATTGACCGTAAGCATTTGATTTATTAAATTCTTTGCTTCTGGAGTCACTGTATCCCATTCTGGTGAAGGGTACTATAACATAAAATATAAAAATAAAACATACTTTATTTTGTTAATGGAAAGAAAGAAGATAAATATTTTCTTACATCATAAGCGCCAGCCTTTATCTGAGAATAAAGACGGTGTTGGTCCTCATCCCAAAAGGGTGGGTAACCCACTAGCAAAATGTATAAAATAACTCCTACGAGTTGGAAAAATCAGTTTTCAGTAAGATGAAGTCCGCAAAATTTTATAGAAATATATTAGATCTGTATATTATTATCCTTCATATACAATATATGAAAACAATGCAATGAATATTACAAAACTCTTTTAACCTCATACTTTGTAATTTTTTTAATGGCAACAACAGTTTCAAATACAATACGCATAATTTATATATTCGATACACAGTTTTAGTAGCATATACAATATATACAATATCCTGGCGTCGGCTTCGCAACAATGTGCTTTGGAAAAATTCTCAGGGGGGTTAGGGGAGGTCATAGAGATAACGAAAATGTATGTCGTTGCCCGATGTAGTTTATAGTTTTCGAGGAATTTGTTGCCAAAGTTGTTTTTTTGAGCAACCGAAATTCCCGAATGCAAGCTAATATAATCACACGGAATCCTTTAATATCATTTATAATAATTCCTAATAACATTTAAAACGATTTTATTCAATTAGTTTTATAAAAACAATAATATTTTTCATCATTTTTACACATAAAAAATGCATTCTCACGTTTGTTTACTTTAGTAAAAATACATGTCCGTTGGAACCAGAAAAGAGCAAGTATATTACATCAATATCCCTTTTAATCTTACAAGGGTGTTTTACTTAAAAATACTGATCAAGGCGAGACTGGTGTTCGTCCGTCCAAGGGTTATTTTTTTAAATCTGGTCGAAAGCGTCTTACTTACTAAGGTGTTTCAGTGGTCCGGCTCAGGGTTATTTTTTTAAATGCGGCCGAAAGCCACTAAATTATAAAGGTGTTTCACTTAATAATACAGTGCAAGGGGAAGCCGGTGTTGATCCAGCCCAGGGTAGTTTTTTCAAATCAGTAAAAAAGTAGCACTTCAAATAACAAATGAACGTTGTAAGGAAACACCCTGGTAACATGTTAGACAACAGCTACTCACCATGCAGGGTTTACTCTGATTGTATGTAAATCACTAATCAAATTTAAATTGGATTGTATATTCGTTATACATTCATTCCGTTGCAATATATGAGCTTACTCATGCGGTGTGGTATCACGGGATTTGCTGATTGTAGCGGACACTATTATATAGAATGCATTGTGTAAAAATTATGGAAAATATTAATATTATAAATAAATTATATAAATAAGATCGTTTTAAACGTTGTTGGGCATTATGTTATGGTATATTTTAGTGTTCCGTGTGATTATATTAGCTTTTATTCGAGTATTTCGGTTGGTAAAAATTCTAACTTTAGCAACAAATTACTCGAAAACTTTAAGTTGCTTCGGGGAACGACATATAATTTTGTGATCTGTATGACCTCCTCTAACCCCCTAGAGGAGATTTTTCTCAAAGCGTGGCACATTATTGCGAAGTTTCCCCATATACTGTTCTTTTCACAAAACTTCCCATATGCGTTAAACTAATTATTAATTACGCAGCATTTTGGTGTCTCATATTTACATGCAAAATTTCATTGTCACATGTAATATTGCATACATATGATTGGAGTTAGTTGTGATATATGCTTACCACATGCCCATATATCTACAGATTTGCCATATGGCTCCTTTTTTAGCACCTCCGGCGATAAGTAGCCAGGGGTGCCAGCAAAACCAAACCATGCCTGATGGTCGCCCTGAACTTCAATGGCTAAGCCAAAGTCGGCGAGTTTTACAGCTGCACCCTTGGCTTTACTAGCTAATAGTAAATTTTCTGGTTTCAGATCACGATGAACCACGCCATTCTGATGGCAATGGTTAACCGACTCCAGGATTTGTTGAATGCAATGCGAAGCATCTGCCTCTGAATAAAATTCGCGCGCAACAATATCTTCGAACAGTTCGCCACCAGTAACACTGTAAATATAAACTATATAAGTGTCTTTGAACTTTTATTTTATATCATAGAACCCTAAAAACAATATATGCTCGTCTCATTTATGAAAAATGCAGTATACCAGGTGTGTAAGTATAAAACCGGAATTTTCTACAGAAAAAGACGTTTATTGTAATGATATGATAAATACAAAGTAACTTCTTCAAAGTATTGTCCGTTGGTATCTACACATTTTTGCCAAATTTCCGGCACTTCATGGATTTCGCGCCAAAAGAACTGTTGCTGTTTTGAGGCAAACCAGCCACCTAGCCATTTTCATACGTCTTCGCTCGAAGTAAAGCGCTGCTTAGCAAGTGCGTGTTTACATGAATGAAAACAAGTAGTAATCGCACGGGGCATGCTATCTTTGTTGGTATTCTGGTCGTTTTTCACTCAAAATTGGATCCGAACCGGTCATTTGTTGTCGGTTGCGTTGAGTATAGACAGTTTTCGCTGGTTTCAGCAGCCTTTCTGATCTCACCAAACGCACAGCATTATCTTCCGTCCGTAGCAGTTTGGTCTTGCCGTCGATGTTAATGGTTCACCCGGAGTAATCCATTACTTTTTGCGATTAGGATTCTCGTAAGATATCCACTTTTTATCGCCGGTCACAATTCGATGAAGAAATAACTTTTTTTTTAACCTGGCGAGCAGCATTTCGCATGCTGACGGCAAATCGTAATTCGTTGGCACAAAACTCGACATATTTATCTCTAATAAACTTCTGCTATTGAATGAAATTCATTCTATTGTGAGTTGTAAATCTTTGTCGGATATCAATACAATAACTAGATACCACTGCATCTACATCTGGTGCAACTTATAGGCAAATTCCGGTTTCATACTTACACACTTGGTAAGTATATACATAGGTAATATAAAGGTATACTTACAGATCAAAAACCAGATAATGGTAGTTTTCTTCCTGTATGCTATCATGCAATCTGACTGTAAGAAGAAAAAAATTAAGTAAATTATTTATCTACACCAGATACTGCGGTACTTAGGTTGTCTAAGCTGCACACAAAATATTTATATTTTTATATGTATGTAAAAATTATTCCTTCTAAATGTTATGGGAAACACATTACCTGAAATGTCCCATTTTTATTGCATTCATACCTAAAGATATAATTCCTAACCATTCCTTTTAGCGCTCTACAGGCGCCTCAGGCCTGGCTTTCCTTCGCAATGTTTTCATTTTTTAACGAAAAGTTGGAAAAAAAAGTTTCAAATATGGAGTATATGCTTGTGCTATCAACATTTTTCATTCATTTTCATAAAGCTCTACCACACAATCAACAAAAATAAATAGCATGGTGGTTAGCAGTGCACTATATCTAGAGGGATAGGGTTCAAGTCTTGGTAATAGATTATTAATCAACTCTCAAGACAGCTGGTTCTATTTACCGGAATTAACCCGGACTTTATCCGGACAAGCGCTGTCACCCTTTCGGCGACCTAATCTTATTTAAGTCGACAGGTGACATTAATTTGAGCTCGCCAACGGAGAAAGATCTCATAGCTGGGTTGTTCCAAATCCTGGTCCGACGGATTACTTCTTCTGCGTGGTTCAGAAAAGATTCCACCACTCCTCCACCTCGGTTGGGTGCAGTCTGTGTGATGTTGGAGTCATCTTAAGACCTGCTCAGGCCTTAAGACCCATAGGAAGTGGACCACAAGCTATGTGGCTCCAAGCTTCAAGCGCCCAAGCGTGCCCCTATCCTCCACGGCAGCGCCTTCAGCCTCTTTGGATAACCAACAGATCTCTACGGTCTCACCGCAGCGTGGCTCTCTCCAACCTACACCCCCATCCCCACCCACAACCAGCTCCTCATCCTCCTTCCGTGCGAGGGCTACCTAGCAGCTTCTAGTCACCCGCACAGTTCCGTGTGTCACACCATAGTACGTCGGAACATGGTCTTAGTCAGATGCAACTCTTACTCTGGCTGATGTCATTTTCGGACATGCTCTGGCCTGCGCACTGCCCGTGAGTGGAGCGATGCGTATGTTGCCCCATGCTGTAGAAATCTGCCCCCACCTATTTCGAAAAACTTACCTCCACCCAAACCCCAACGTGCGGAATCAATCTCAGCTGGCATTACAACAAGAACACACTCCATCCATGCATCATTACCTCGAATCGCCACCGTTTCCCCGAGACAGACCCAACTCCTACAATTCAACTGCAACGGACTCCATGGGAAGATCGACGAGAAAGTCGACTACATGAGCTGGGAGCACCTGTCAATTGCTATGAGCGAGAAAACGAAACTGACCGCCCGCTCAGATCTTCTGAGCCGAGCCGAATACAACAACATAATCCGAAAAACGGCATAGCTATCCAGTACGGCGATGCCGAGCTCGAGATATTTAGTATATACATTCCTCCTGTTACAAGTTGCCCAGTTGGATACAGCCCTTATATAAGTGCTACTAAGAGGCGAAAGCCGTTTGGTTTTGGGCGACATTAACGCGCATCACAATTTTTGACATTCTAGCTTGACATATTACTATAGAGAAATAGAACTGGCAGAACAGATAGATTATTCGACATTCTGCACAATGAACGATTACAACACCCTCACCAGAGTCATGAGTAATTGCCAAAGGTTGCCGGATATAATAATTGCAGGTGCTGGTCTGGCGACGTATACTGCAACTAGTATCGAACCACTTACCCAAACAAATCTCGATTAACAGGCCTCCCGACTTTGTTTCCGCGGATCACCGGACTTTTGTCAACCTTAAAAAAGCTGACTGGTCCGGCTACACGAAATTCACCGAGAACGCCTTTAGCGCTCTCCCCACTCTATCAGATGTCAGTACTGGTGAAGTTTCTCCCGCAGGGTCGTCGAAAATGCTGTCGCCCGCTTCATCGCGGCTGGCCGAATCACGGAAATCCGCCTAAATTTTTCAACAGAAGCGGCGGCATTAGCATCTAGGCGCGACTCCTTTCGAAACTCGCTTCCCGAGAATACCCTCAAATTGGGATTTTAATGCAGAGATTCACAGACCAGCTGCAGAGCAGCAACCACAAACGGAAAAAGGGGGAGGAACACTTAAGCACTTACAACCTCTCCTCTGGGGCAACTAATCTCAGGGCTATAGTCAAGTCGTTGTCTAACCCGACAACACACGATGACTGGGTAGGAATTTGATTCAGTGGTCGCGCTTTGCCGGACACGAAGAGATACGCGAGCTATTTCAGTCGAATTTTTACTCTGCATCCTTCGGTAGACAAAACGAAGTAACGTGTAACACGCCGTATGCGCAAACTGCAAAATACCAGCGCGGCGCTAAATTTCTACAGGGAAGAGGTTCAGGCGGTCATCGGGAAGGCGAAAGCCTCAAAATCTATGGACGGAATAACCATGCTGATGTAAAACATCTCGGACCAGCGGGAGCGGACTTTCTTATCAAGGCCATCAACTTGTCTTTGACCACCCTAATGATGCCTGACGTGTGGAAAACGGGCTGGGTGGTCCTGCTACTCCAACCGGGGAAACAAGCCAACAAAGGAGAGTCTTGTCGGCCGATAACTCTCCTCTCCCCAGTAGCGAAAGCACTTGAGGCCTTGCTGATCCCGACCTTCGCTCACCATCTGCGTCCAGCAGCACATCAGCATGGCTTCCGAAACGTACGCAGCACAACAGCACTAAACGCCATAAAAACCCAGATAGTTAGTGGCCTTAATCTAAAGCGACCCTGAGGCAGTGTAAACTTTTAGCACAGGATCAGTCAAAAGCTTTTGACACACTTAACCATTCAGTGCAACTAACATTGAGGAATCTTCATTGTCATCGGGGTTGCAGAGGTGGCTCATGGGCTACGCAAGTGAAACATCGAAACCCAGAAAATTTAAACACGCTCGTATGCCGATGATTGCACGATATTGGAGTCTGGCCAGGATATTGATGACCTCTGTTCGAAAGACAACTGCTACCTTGCTTATCTTTCTCTCCTCTGAAGGAATATAAGCTTGAAGTAGATGTGAAGGTCGATGGCGAAAAAATTCTGACTTTAAACTACATATAAATATTGGGAGCAACACTAGACAGCCTTTACCGAATGAGACGCAGAAGGAAGGCTACAGGCTTGCCAGAACACCGACCTCAGGACTGTGAGAGGAAACCTTCTGATGTCGCCGGAGCGCCACTTGTATAGTGAAGCGTTGTGCTCCTTAACTCGAATGGACACCTAATTGACGCTGAACCTCCACCTATGCACATCAGAAAGGGAGTACTAGATTTAAAGACACAATCCAGCAGCATGTGCAATAACTGCTGGACACGATGGCGTACACACAGGCGCGTCATTCACCAGGAGTCAGTCAATACCTTCAAAAGTCCCTTCCAGTGAATGGCGTGTCGGAGTGAAACCATCACCCATTGCAGATAACGAGCTCGAGCTGCCTGCCTCCAGATTCGACTCCAGCATACGGTATATCCTGCATGTGGAGAGACTCTGCACGACAGTAACCTCCTCGTCACATACTCCCTTAAGTCGACTCACCTAACACCCTCACTCTTTGGTCCGTCGTGATCAAACCTTTACCCAAGCGGGGTTAAATAAACGCTGGAACAACCACGACAACAACAACAACATAGAATATTAATTTAAATAAAAAATTATGTAATATGTAAAATCGCGGTCGCTCCTCCGCAATTATTTTCAACTCCTCTGAATATATTTCTGACATGAAATGAAAGCTGCTCATAAAAATACGTTAGCCGTTCACCTCGAAATTTTGTTTGTAATTGATAGTTAAATTGTATAAAAATAAGAAAGCATCATTTTGGAAGAGCTCTTCCTGTGGTATGCGTCTTGATGTTTTTCCAACAAATGGAGGAGCTTTTGTTTCATGACATAAATAGGCTTGGAGGGGTTGACATTCCCTGCCGAAGGGTGACCGAAATGAGAAAATTTAGCTAAATTTTCAATTCAAATTAATTTTCTATAACTTTCGGATGTTGGTCGTACCAGAATTTGAAACTCAATATCCTTAAATGTAAAATGGAGATGTAATGAAATTTTGTCAATATTTAAGTTCTGCATTGCCTAGCACCTGAACGATGTTCGAACATATTCGAAACGGATGTTTGTCGATATAGAATCAAACATAAATTAGTCAGTCTCGTGGTTGTAAAGGTAATTTTATACATTTTAAACAGATAAGCTCTTTAGGCATAGAATGATGTCGTCAAGCTTTATAGCTAACCTTTAAAACGCCATTTCTCCATAGTAAACAAAAGTTTAAAATATACGGTGAAGATCATTAAGAAGCTGTGGTAATAATATTATGTCGATTAATTAAGGACTTCAATTTTAATTGCTATTTACATTTGCTTATTTAATGGGTTACATATGTCTTTAAACTTAAAAAAATTAATTTTTTTGATAATTTTTTGTATAAAGGTACAATATTCAGGAATATTTTCCCCACGTTTCTTTCGATCGGGACAAAACTGTAGAGATTAGAGAGTTTTATAGCCCGCTGTCTTTGTCATGGGTTGACTGATGGCGAAACTTTAAATGCGTTTTTGTTAAAACTACTTTATCAAAATCGGTAGTCAAAATTTCTCAACGACTATTGAAGCGATCGAGTTCAAATTTTCTACACTTCTTTTAAGAATGTTTTTGTAGTTCCCGAAAGAAGGATTTATTTTTTCTTCGATTTCAACTCATTTTACAAGCCAATATCTGGCATAATTTCATGCAAAAAATTACTTTTTTTGTAAAAAACGCTACAAAAAATTCAATTTTTAATTTTTAAAATTTTTATTCGTTCAGGAACTTTACTACTTGAAGAAAAAAATTGAGTTTTTGATTTCAGATAAAAATTTAAAAAAGTTATCACGACTACCACGAAAGCACTTTCTTGTGGACGACACTGCCAACGCCTTAACTTATACTATTTTTCAATCAAATTTTTATCAAATGTTGTC